GGCTCTTCACACCACTCATTAATAACTGTTAACTCTGCAAAAAATAGCAATTGCTATTTATATCTATTTAAATAGAAAAATACGTATTCGTAAATTTTCATAGCTAGCTTTGTTTTTAAATAAAACTTTTTGAAAGATTCGTTTGTTGCAAGATTTTTCGCATGAGAACGCGTACCCCAGCTAAACTGTTCCCGTACCCCTGGGGGTACGCGTACCACTCTTTGGGAAACATTGCTCTAAACCAATACAAAGATTTAATTTGTTTGCAATTGTTCTTATTTAGCTTCGGTTTACAGACACATTTATTTTATGTATAGATTGAACTTTTTTTTTCCTCATTAAAATTAATCAAAAAAACTAATTCTAAACCATTCATGACAGACTATTAAACACAAGCATAGCTGCGCCGTTTACCGTGATAAAAATTAACTTTGCAAACACTTATTCTTAATGTATTAGGCGGCCAAATTTAAAACGAACGTTTCTTAAGACAGAACTAGAAAACTGTTAAAATTTATTTCTTGCAGCAAATATGCCAGTGTATAACATTAAGCTTGATAATAGAAGAAAACTGAAAATCATGTCGGAGATAGTTTAAAAATATTTGAAAACGAAAAGAGAAAAAGGCTAATAACGCCATCTATCAGAAAATGATAGAAATAAAAGGTATCCGTGGGTGAGAGAAGCGCTTCTCTCATGGGACAAAGCGCTTTGTCCCATGAAATAAGTACATTAAGTTGTTTTTAATTTTATAAATTTCAACCTAATAAAGGCACCCTTTCTATGTTTTTCACTATAAAATTTAAGTTTCTGTTGTACAAGAGGGAATAAACACATTTTGCACATTAATGTCCCTAAAAGCTTTAATTTTCCCATCATCACTAATACAGTAGGGAACCGATTATCCGGAACGATCGGGACCATCACTATTCCGGATAACTGATTTTTCCGGTTTTCTGAATCGCTACAAAAAGCCGTTTTTTTATTGTTAAACCAACTAAAAAAAATTTTTTTTAGGAAATAATCTTGAAAAGAAGAAAAAACGATGAAGTAATACACTAATGATTATTTCCAAAATGATGGTAAGGTGAACATCTTTCAAAAAAGAAAGAAAAATCCTAAAATCTTATAAGGAAAAAAAAAATTTGTTTAAAAAATGGCGGGAAAATTTATCGAATTTCGTTCCGGTTTTCTGATTTCCGGATAACGGGTTCTGTACTGTACTGGGAAAAAAGCAGTAGCACATTACTTGCAGTTCAGCTTTGAAAGCTAATGCAAGGTTTAAAAAAATGCTAACCTAACTAATAAATAAAAGAAATACTACTCAAATCCTAAGAATAAAATTCAATATTCACTAGATGTCTTGTTGGCATTCCTCACATCAGTCAATTATTAACAAGCTCTGGGTTCTAGAATCAGCGAAAGAAGTATATTCCATTTAAGATCAACACCATCAGGTGTTAAAGATTCAATACTCTGGATCATTTAGCTCTTTACTTCATTGCTGATACAATCCTGATAAATTTAACTCGTACAAACCACCACTCCTCTAAAAAAATGCTTGCTTTGTTTCTGACTTAAAGTGTCAATAAACACATTACATAAATAGAAAATACTCAAGCTGTACTGAATATTCCCATGCTGATCTTAACCAGGATGTGAAGTGAGAAATTTTTTTTAAAAAATTCCCAGTAAATCCAAGACTTTCCTTGCATTGAGAGATATTTAAATTAAATTTTATTAAATAAAAAATATATATATATATCATTTCAAATATACAATCGAAGTAAAATAAAACAATGAACACTATGTATCTCAAAATTAGGAAAGTTTTATTTCAGACCTAAAAAGGTAAGAGGGCAATAACTCCCTAAAACCAGGGGTGATTGTGAGCAAAAAAAAAAAAAAGAAGTTTACATCGAAAAATTAGAAAACAATTTAAACAAGGTTTTTTCCTTCTTCTCAATATTTCTTAGTTTACTTAAAATTTTACACTTTCCTATGATGACCTGGAGAAGTAATTGAAATTTACAAATACATATGTCTTTCTTTCTTGAGTTTATGATTATAACAGCTATTTACTGATATGAATATTAATCTTGAATATAAGCTTATAAAGTATCTCTCTGGCTCACCCTAACAAATAAATAAAATAAACTGTGTTTTTAAGTTCCCCCTTTGAAAATTTGATTTCCGGAAACTTTTGTGATCTATGATTTTTTGAAACTTCCGGATCACGGTTAGCGAAAAATCCGGATTCTTTCCGGAGCACAATCTGCCCTGCTAAAACAGAACATCCACCCACCACAAAAAGGAGCATCGCGCTTCACAAAAACCTGCATTGTTTTAACAAAGTAAAAACACGTAAAGTAAGTTTGTTTTTAAAGTAAAAACAAAGTTCCTAATTTTGTCATTAAGAAAAAAATCTTGAGTTAACTTAAAAATGATTCAGTTAAAGTAGAAGTTAGCACATCCTATTGATCAGTGTTTAAACGAGCATTCTGAAAATGTTGCTCGTCTTAATAATGTTCACAAATTTGAAATTAGCATGACTTAACATTGTATAAAAATATCAAACTACATAAAAGGGAATGTAAACGATAAATAACTTCTGAAAAAAAAAAAAAATTCTTTTTAGCACTTTTCTCGACCATTTTCAAAAATTTACAAAGCGACAAATTTTTTAACTATAAAAAATATTGCAGAAATCTCTTAGATCAAAAAATTTTTTCTGGCTGCCTGAGTTTCTCTCAAAGCATCCTTTATATGATCAGATACATTCTGCGAACCTGCAGATAAGTAATAAAAACAAACAATAAATTTTTTCAAAAATATGAGTCTATATCAAACAACTATTGGAGACCATTTTAATTTACTTAATCTAAAAAAATCTGTCTAAATTGTGGCATAAAATATCAATATTTAGATTGATAATAATTAAGGCCCGGATTTTGATATTTGCATTTTTGGTCATTATTTGTCCTTTAGAGCATTTTCTTTAAATTTCGGGGCGTACTTTGCATTTTTTAAGGTTTTTGTTAATTTTTTCGGGTATTTTTACTACAAGAAATGCAAGATTTGTCTAATAACTTTACATCTCATATTGTAACTCTCAAAGAATGTTTCAAAACATTTGCTCCTAGTCAGCTTCGCCCCCTAAACCAGTAACCACACGATGGGGTACCTGGTTGGATGCATGCTTATACTACAGTGAAAATTCTAAGATAGTGAAGTCTATCGTCAGTAGATGCTGCATCAATTAAGATAGCGCTAATCGCTTCTGATAAAATCGAAGGAAACTTATCATTTATCAAGTTTTACTCTGCTATTGTGTCCTCGACAATTACAAGCTTGGAGAAACAAGAATTGGAACTTAGCGATGCAATAAATTACATTGATGTTGTGAGTCGAGTGTTGCAGCTAAATTGAACAAAGTTTTGAAGAACACTGGCTTTCAAACAATGAAGAAAGTCTCTAGGATACTAATAGGTGAAGCAACAAAAGAATCCGGGCTCTAATAATAATTAATCTCATAGTTATTATATATATTAAGAGTGCTTTGTTTTTTGAAACTATGTCCAAGGTCTGCAAGCTTTGTTTTACAGATTGCGAAAATTTTTGATACTTTCATAATGGCTTGACACTAAAATACCAACTCTGCTGTCGCTGAAATTTCTCTTCATAAATACATTAACAAAATAATATCCCAAGACTTTACATGGTTATAATTAGTTTCTGGCAAAGAACTCTTCCTCCTGGCTAAACATTTCTTGATCTACCCTTTATAAAAACAATTTATTCACAATTTTAAAGATATTCAATATTAAGTGGCTCATTCTATTTTTAAAATAATAATTACTTAATAGATGTAAAAAATTAATTCAAAATTACAATTAATTTAACTATCATTTAAAAATGTTATCCAGTGTATCTTTTAGATGTAAATAAATGCTATTTATAAAAGCATATTCAACAAAACATTAACAAAATTAATATTGATCATACCAAATTTATAAAGTATTAAGCAGAATTTGTAATGAACAGAATTGTAAAGAATTAAGCAAAATAAACAAACTCTAATAAATTCATATTACAATGTAAATATCCCCTAAAAATGTTTATCATTATTTGCAACTTGGTTCAGCATTTAAATTTGTTAAGTGAAATGTTATTTTTGAGATGTAAATACAATGAGAACTAAAGCGAAATTTTTTTTTTACCCTACATTTGTAAAGTTTAACAAATCTGAGATAATTTAATTATTTATCATTGAGAGATGAATTAAGGTAATGACAAATCTGAAATTTTTTCTTCCCACATTAACGGAACATAAGATTTTTTTGCCGTATTTCACTTCTTACTTTTTAAAAATCTTAGCTCTAGATATTATGAGCTCTGTTAATTTCAAAGACAATGGTATATTGACCTATAAACAGGGTTCATATAGAGATCAGAAGAAATCCAAGGAGTCCAAAATTTAAAAACATTGCATAAAAGATATAATCTAAAAGTGACAAAGACTAACAAGAGAACTAAAAATCGCCGTTAGGAAATTTCTTCGACTATGTCTAGTTGCCCACCGCAAACAAGAAACACAGAAGTACACGCACATGCAGGTAACATGTTTCGTGAAACGACTGGAGTTTTCACATGACAGTAGGGGGCTGTAATAATTCCGCAAACTCAGACGAGAACAAAATTCGTGCTTGAAAAAAAATAAATAAAAAAATATCCCAGTTTGGAAAATTAAATACTCTTATTTCATACAGAGCCAACCCCTTAAAACATATTTAGAATATATGGAGATATTACTAATAGAAAAATGAACAAATAGAATTACTTGAATAACGCTTCTGAAATAAATCACCTCTGATTAAGTCAAAGGTAATTTTTTCAGTATTTGTCTTCAGTGTCTTAAGTTTTTAATATAAAGTGTTCAATAATGTAATATGCTTTAATTGATATTTAATAAGTAAAACTGCCACAAATATACAGATACATACAATTTTTTTTAACCTTTATTTTAAAAGCGTGATAGACATACAATAGCAGATTTCCAGACTTATGCCTGTAAAAGAAACAAAAATCAATAATTATTCCAAAGTAAACAAATATATACACAATTGAAGGAAATTTAAATTAGAAAGCAAAAAGTAGAAAAGAGAAAGCAGTACCAGAAAGCTCCCAGAAGTGCATCTTTAGTGTTTCTGCGGAAAAGACACTTATAAATAAATGATCTTAAAATTTTTAATATGTTAGTGTCAAACCCAAACTCGCATTGTTAAAACCATGCACTATCTAACTTTTAGTGTGATGTATCAGTCAAGATGAAAATCACAAACTAAATTACTTTATAAATTTAAGAGCATCTTAACTTTAAGTATAAGCAGTATGAGGTATGAAAAGAAAAATATAATTTTGTAGCTCTAAATATCTGAAACCTAGAGGCAAGAAGGAAACAGAAAATAAGAATTGTATAAGAAATAAAACAGGTTAATTTAGTTAATAAATTTGCACACATATTATAAAATAACAGGGTTGCCACTCAAATCTGGAAAAAAAATTCCCTGTGTTTTCCCTGTATTATTATACACAATATATTAAAAGGAAAC